ATTTCTTATGGGTAAGCTAATCATTAGATCAAGCTAACACTTTGGTTCCAAACATGTGGTAATAGGATGTGGTAATTGTAATTCATATACTTGATCTCAAATAAAATTATGGTTATATATGTCTAACAAAAAATCACTGTTCATCAGTAATGTATTATGACACAAAACATATAAATAACCAAATACAAATTCAAATTCAGTAAGTTTCACTTATGAAAATAATGAAATAAATTTGAAATGTCCAAAAAAAAAATTAAATTTGACTAGTAGATCTAACTATGGTCTTTTGCTTCTTTGGGATGCTAAATCCAATAGGCACATGGTTCTTGCAAGTAGCTTTATTATGTCCAAATTGCCTATAATGACTACACCTAACAGTTCTCTTAAACTCACCAACCGATAAAATTTGTGTCTTCTTAGACCTACCAACATCTCTTCTTGTCTTTGATGGTATTAGATTGTTTTCAAGAACTTCATTAGGAATTTCCCAATCACATTGATTGCCCAACGAATGAATTGTTACCCCATATGTGCAACCATATGAATACTTTATGTAGTACCTAGAAACAAAAATATATGCACAAAGTTATTGCTTGCTAATCATTGCACAAGCATGAGAATAAGGAATCTCTTCAAAATCCTACTTCCTGCAACTACAACTTCTAGTCTCCAAGTAAATAATAAAACTAGATTTGCCATGCACTACAGTAAATTTATTTATATCATTTGGTTGAACCTATAATAAAAATGTAATACAATATAACAATGATAAGTTTCAAAGTTGATATATCAATGATATTCAATAGTATATTAATTAAGATATGTTCAGTTGTAAAAACATTACCTACATATATTTACCAAGCTCTATTTGCTCGGATAATTGTTTTTCAACCCATGATGTTAGATGAGAAGATATAGAATTAGCATGCATCCTTCGTGTATAAAACTAGTCCTAGAGCTTGTTCCTAATAAATTCAATCAATGGTATAATTGGTAGGTCTCTTGCATCATCCAGAGTAGAGTTCATGCTTTCTGATATATTAGAAGTCATAGTATCATACCGTCTCCTCATAGAATAACAACATGACCACTTTTCATAACCCACATGAATAACAACGTGACTACTTTTCATAACCCACATTTAAAAGGTAATCACGAATTCCAGGTGTCACTTGATCTAATTTCTTCATCTCATGTTCAAAATCAGAAAACTTATATACCCTAGCACAATTATTGAAAATACCGGCAACTGAAGGATGTTTAAACTTTGTTCTTATATTACCCAACAAATGTTGTACACAAATACAATGAGTAGCATTAGAAAATACATTAGACACAGCTTTTGGGATACTACATTTCTTGTTTGAAACAAAGACAAGGTCTTGATGATAACATAATGCACTCTTCGATTTATACAGAAACCATTCCCAAGAAGTATCAGTCTCTAAGTTAACAACTACAAATACTAATGAAAAGATTGAATTGTTTCCATCCATAGTCATACAATTAGAAGAGTCCCTGCATATTTGTTCCTTAAAAAAGTTCCATCAATGGATATAATTGGTCGACAATGGCTCCATCCCCCAATAGAAGCAACAAATGATACAAAAAAAACTTAAAATGACCATTACCACTATCTTCAATAGCAGTAATAGTATTTGTGTCATATTGTTACTAATCAGACAATAAAGTAGGATACAAAATATAATTACTGTCTAAATAACACAATATATCTAATTCAGTTACTATCTGAATATATCATTAATAAACGAATGTATATCAATGATAAATATGTACTAAGATTTGTGTGCCTCAAAGCATAGCACAAGGAAGGTAATTGGGCATAAGAGTCCTCTAGACAACCTTAAATTGCTTCCAAAATAAGTTCCTTTACTCTCCATGACTTATAATAACTAACACCAACTCCAAATTCCTTACGCATGTGCTTAATTATTGATTTCGGGTCATTATATTCTCCATCAAAGACTTTTTACTTCACACATTCACTAATGATAAGGATTGTTACTTGCCTATGGTCACCATGCACGAGATCAACAGCACAAGTGTGGTCCTTTACATACCGTCTAATAACCCAAACTTGAGTAGAAGAAATTATTAAGGCCCGTACGTACCACTTACAACCATCAATACTACAAGCAACAACAAGCCTTTCACCATTTGATTTTAAAGTTTTGTATTCAAAATTCCTATTCATAACTAATAGTTGCAGAAACTTTTGGACTTCTAATTTGCTACAAAATGTATCTCCCTCCTTAATATCGTCCATTTGTAAAAGTTTATCGGGTCTGCTATAATTCTTGTTGTTGGTAAATGTAGACGAATATGAAGTTAAGGAACTATCTCCTTTATGGCAAGGTTTAAACACTTCTTAAATGAACAAAGAGATTAGAATTTCTCAACAAATTAAAATACCATATCAAATCATTGTCATTCTTGACCTCTAAAATACTATATATTGAAGTTTTAATATCAAAAGAGACCATCAATTTAACCTCATGACTTGTATTCAACCGCAATTTCTTATACACAATTTTCATGACATCAGAATAGGAAGTTGTATCTTCCATAAGCACTTCCAAGTATGAACTATTGATGTATCGGTTGTTCAAATCCCATTTTTCATCGTAAGAAATTATGACATTAAGAATCCCTATATCTACAAGATGACATAGTGTTGGTAAGTTATCATTGATATTACTTATCAATGAGATATTATAATATATTAATGATATACTAACGTTAATTAGAAATACAAAAACTTCATCAATCAGACACTATATAATATACTAACGTTAATTAGAAATACAAAAACGCCATACTCCTTCACTCAAATTAGATCAAACTAGGTTCGAAAAAAATTACAGACGCCTTAGCTGATCATAGAAAATCAAATACCTAAAATAAAAAATAAAAAATCATGAATAATGAGAAAATAATATGTTTTACGTTCGAAATTCAAGCAAATTGCATGATCAATGACAACCAAAAATAGATTAAGAATAGATGATTTACTGATTCAATGAATATATTACCTGAATATATGAAGACGATGAAAATTCGACTATGGATGATTCTCTTCAACCTCCAAAAAAATGAATACAAGATAATTTATATTCAATAATGTAGTTTCTTGTTCAATGTGATGACAATGTCTAGAAAAAAATAGAGAAGATAAACAGAGAAAGGCAAGCACTGTATGATAAGATACATTCTGTGATCCCTGATGAAGATGATGAAAATAACTGTCTGGATAGAGAAATAAAATAAAAAAATCAAATAAAAATAACATTAGTTATATTCTATTTTAATAAAAATAACTGAACAGATTTGAGGACAAAGGACTAAAAACATATCTAATTTATTTTTGAATGGATCATATTTCAAAATATTCAAAAACTTTTTTCATAATTTATGGAAGTTGTATTTTTTGATGCCATTGAGCAAATTTTCTCTTTTATTTTTTTATTAAAATAAAAAATTATAAAAGATACAGAAAATTTTAATAAATCTGATGATTAATTTGGACAGTAATATACTTTGAACAGTACAAATTTAACATAAATAATTAAAATTTAATATTAAATTTTTTATAAATTAATTATCTAGATATCCTGTAGAGTCTAGACAGTGCAGATATCTATTAAAAAATTTTAAAAAATATTTTTAAAAAAAATTACTCCCTCCGTGACTTCGTCCCAAAATTATAAGATACTTTTAAAAAAGATTGAATATTTTAAAATATAAGACACTTTGATAAAAATAAGGTTTCATTAATGATACTTTTTCATAATTACCCTTCCCATATATTCTCTCTCTTCAATATTTTTTTATTTATGGAGTATTAAATAAAGGATATTTTTAAAAGTTTATATTTTTATTTTAAAAAATTAAAGTTGTAAAGTGTATTTAATGAACTTTATTGATATATAAGATTTTATCTAAAAATATCTTATAATTTGAGATAAAAGGAGTACCAATTAAATATTTTACATCTAAACCGTAAATTTGAATAGTCAATTTATAAAATCTATAAAAAATTAACTATTAAATTTGATCATTAATATTAAATCTAAATTATCCAAATTAATCATTAAATTTATTAAAATTTTTATGATTTTAAAATAAAATATTAAATTTGAATTGTTTTTAAACCTAATTTGGACAGTCTAAATTTTGGTCTTACAGCATACGCTCCTCCTAGGAGGAGCAAAGCTGAGATCCACGAGTAAAAAACTTCTCCTTTTCTTTTCCTTCTTATTCTCTCTATTAGTTTTATAATTTAAAAAAATTATTTAATAAAATAATATTAATGATAAAAATGAGAAAAGTGAAGAGAGAAGGAGGGAGAGAAAAGGAGAGAGCTCCTCACCAGTTCATAGCTTACGGTTGTGGTTTCGTACTATCTCTTGTTTCCATCTTCATCCACATCAGCACTTCACTGAAACCCCCCCCCCCCTCCTAGCCAATGTACAAGTCCGAATCCTCTCCTCATGCTCGTCTCCACCTTTAAACAACAAAATGAATAATTTAAATTTATTTATTTTATAAAATAATAATCATATTATTATGGAAAAATAAAAATAAATTTAAATTATTAAAATTTAACCTGTAAAGTTTATAATATGCTGTTATTAAATTTATTTATTTATTTTATTGTAGTTATAAATTATGCAAATTAAATTTTAACAATTTAAAATTATTTATTTATTTTTTAATATAATATTATGATAACTGTTTTATAAAATAATTGAATCTATACCCTTCATTTTTTAGCCAAAGGTGGAGATGGGGATGAGGAGAAGGAAAGGAGAGAAGGGATGAGGAGAGGATCTCCTTCGGCCAAGGTACAGGTTAGAGGTTTATCTTGAAGCAATAGCAGACCTGAACATTGGATCAAGAAGGATATCAGATTTACCATATAATGTCCCCTTCTGTGGTTTCTCACCATCCATTTCATTAGGCGATCACAGCTCCAGGGAATGGCCGCGGCGGCTGGAGGCAGTAGCATCACCAAATCCTTGAAAGCTCGCCTCCGTAGTGCCGAAGAAACCCTCTATGGACTGTTCCTTGCCAGCTTCTCGCCGACCTTGACTGAGATCGCCGGTCTCGCTGGCTATGACTTCGTTGTCATCGACCTGGCCGACGGCCACGGCGACATCCCCAATGCTCTCTCCTGTCTCCGCGCTCTGTCTTCAACCCAAACCCCTGCTACAATCCGGCTTCCAGAGAACTCCGAGACGTGGGCCAAGAAGGCCCTTGACCTGGGTCCACAAGGCCTCATCTTCCCCATGGTCAACTACCCTGACCACGCCCGCGATGCAGTCTCCTACTCTCACTACCCTCCCAAGGGAGTTCGTGGCGCAGCTTTCCCCGCCGTCCGAGCCTCCAACTACGGCTTCGATCCTCAATACTTAGCCAAATGCGAGCATGACTTGCTGGTCATGTGTCAGGTTGAGTCTGTAGATGCCCTTGACTACCTCAATGACATTGCTTCTGTAGATGGGATTGATTGTATCATGCTCGGCCCTTTCCGTGATAGCCCCGCCTTGAATGACTCACTCAAGCAAAAGCTTCTGTTGGCTGAGCAATCTTTGTTGGAGCTCAAGTCTGAGAGCGAGAAAGCCCCTTTTTTGGCTGCATTCGCTATGCCCCATGATCCTCCTCTTGATCTTAAGAGGCGTGGTTATGATATGATTTGTACAGGTGTCGACGTCGCTCTGTTTAGAGATGCTGCCCTTCGCAACATCAACATGTTCAAGAAGTAGCTCTTTCGCTGATATCATCCATCCCCTTTTCATTCTTTCCTTGGGTACAAGTTGCAAGAGTTCTGGTGGACTTGGCATTGGGATTGTATATTGTAAGTGTTCATGTTCAATAAAGTGACTCTTGTGGGGCACCCTGTGGCTGTCACCACAAGAAGTTGCAATGCCTTCAATCCTTGTTTGTTTGTTGGTATTTTGATGACCCTAGTGTTTAGAAAAAATCAAATGCCATATGTATTAATTCCATCAAGGTTCAGACTTAAGAATGGATTGTTTATATGTTTATTGGTTGCATGTGCACTGATATTTGGAGGTAAAAATTATTTTTTCACCACTGCTCTCAGTAAGTAATATCTCAATGTCACAAGAAATTGTACGCTTCTTCTTCAAGAAAGAATGAAGAACGATGTGCAAATTATGCACTAAACTAACAAAGTGTACCAAATCCAAATCCGCGAACCACAATGCCTTCAAGGATGGATGGATTATTTGGGACTGCCCTTGAATGATAGGAATTTGGGCTGGGAAATCATGATGGAGCTGACGGCCTTCAATAAATAAGGGCTTGCTGGCTCACCGTTCATGGCTATCTGTCTACTTCTAAATGAATGAAAGAGGCATTTAGCTTGGTTGTGATGAGCACCAATTTGATCATCTTTATCAAATTTGGACCAGTTTTATTTTAATAAATATAGAAATAAAAATAAAAATAATATCCGTCACTGTGTTAAAAGATAGATTTATTATTTAAAGACTGTAAGTTAAAACATTTAGATTTGAGCCGTTTAAACTGTTTAGATCTTTTCATAGCTCTCATCGTTGTGATAAGTACTGAAGCTGTGCCCATGTGAAAGAGACCCGGCAAAGTCTAGGATTGTGAAGTGTTTTGATATTGTTTGGACCAGGACAAGTTTTACAGTTTTGATAGCCTAGTTCAAGTGTAGTTTGTAATAATATATGGCCGAAATTCCATTGTCCCACCATGTGATGTGGCTGGAGACAGGTTGCCCTCTTGTTGAATCTCTCATTTCAGCCACATCCGCACATGACTCAGTCTGCTGCGCCCTCATCCCATCCCAACTGGCCCATGTGACCGTGTGACTCACTCCCTATTATTCTTATTATTGTTATTAGCATTCCTGCTTGTCAAGTTTTGTTCAAAAAAATTATGATTGGATGAGGGTATTCATGTAAATGCAACTCTTAGGTGGTGGTCCTTTGCTGCCACCAATAAGATGTGCTGCTGCCTCTTCCCTCCTGCTGAGTTCCTAAACCGAAACAAGGAAGGAAGATGAGTGTTGCAAGTGCATTTGCTACAACTAACATGTTCTTCATCGTATATTTTCTCACGTTGCTGCTCCAAACAAAGGTGTCATGCTTGCAGTACAAGGTTGGAGACTTGGATGCTTGGGGGATCCCCGCCTCTTCAAACCCAGACGTCTACACCAAATGGTCCAAACATCACAATCTCAAGATCGGAGATTCCATCTGTAAGATCCTCATTATCAAATCCCTATCCAAATCCAAAGTTTCATTCTTAGATTGCTGGCTGACTCTTGTTATGTTGTGTGTACCGCGCAGTGTTCTTGTATCCACCGAGTCAAGATTCAGTGATCCAAGTAACAGCCGAGTCTTACAAGAGTTGCGACCTCAAAGATCCCATACTGCACATGAACGACGGTAACTCTCTGTTCAACATAACTTCGAACGGAGAGTTCTACTTCACGAGTGGAGTGGCAGGCCATTGCCAGAAGAAGCAGAAGCTTCGTATAGTTGTCGGTGACGGAAATGGCGTCACGCCGTCTGACGCTCCCACTGCTGCATTGCCGGAAAACGCCGCAGACGCGCCTTCCTATCCCACCGTGTTTGGAAGCATTCCAGTTACTGCTTCTTCTTCTGCTCCTTCTTCGTTGTCGTCTTCTGCTCTCTCTCTGTTCATCTATGCTCTTCTTGGATTTGCCGTCTCCTCTCTGCTTTGATGAGATTCTCATTTTGTATTTCATTTGTGAAATTCTTTTGGCATATAGTACGATTTTGTATGTCGTAATTCTTTGGGCATTGAAATGTGGAAGCGATCGTGATTGGAGGGAGCACGTCGGAGAGATTTCTTATTGTTTTCGATCACCACTTTTCCTTTTTTCACTTTTACGCCTTTTGATTCGAAGTAGCCAATCTGGGGGCGAAGCGGTAAAATCGGAAGAAAGATCTCGATTTTTTAAAATTCTCAAAATCTTAGAAGATGGGTCCCACGATTACGAGGCAGAGACTTTTCACGCGAGCAGCAAGCGGAGAAAGGAGATGACTCTAATTAATTTATTAAATACATATTATATCCTGTTGCGGCTTGCCAGCTGGAAATTTGCTTCCATCTGATCTGACCATCTGCATACTGTTTTGTGTCGGTCACTAACACCATTTATGTATTCATGTATTATTACTTCATGAATATTATACACACACACGCACTATATATACTTCCTCCATTTTTGAATATAAAAAAATTTTAACCAACTCCTGATTTACAAAAATGAGTTGATGATAATAATTATAATTATATCTAAAATTAAAATATATTACTCTCTTTATTAAAAAATATAAGACATTTTTTAGGAATTAGGACATTTTTAATTTTTTGAGGTGTAACTATTGTCTTTTTTTTTAAAAAAATATCCCTATTGATAATGACATTATATTTATTATAAGGTGTTTAATAGGAGTAAATATGAAAATATAAAATTAGTTAAAAAGTAAGTAACTATTTAATTGTGGAATAAGATTCAGTTAAAAATGTCTTATATTTTTTAACGGAGAGAGTAATTAAAATGTTCTTCTAATTAATATTTACTTTTTTTTCTTTCATTTAATGATACTATTCATTTATAAGGAAAATTTTCAAAAAAGTGTAACTAATTTTTTTAAAATTTGTAATTTTTCTTATATTAAGAAATAAAAAAACATAGGATAGTTTTATTTTATTTAAAAATAAAGTAATATATATATATATATATATAACCATGGAACTGTTGAAGCTTTAGAAAAAATAAAAATGAGATTGTTTACAAATTTCATATCTCATTCTCCTTGTGAGGAGATAGGTAAACTTAATTATATGATCTTATTTACTCGTTCACTTGTAAATTTTTTTTCTCAATTATGTAATTTAGGGTTTAATTTAGAATTTTTTGGGCAGAACAAATTTAGAAATTTATAATTTACCAGATGTGTTTTTGGCATTCGCACAAAGTCTCCTCGAGATCTGATAGAAATTAGTCAAATTTATGATGTCTATTACTAATTAACTTTTTTGTTTGGGACTTGTGATATTTTTTCAAAAGATAGCCAAAAAAGTAAAAGCAGAAATAATTTGAGAAGATGCAAAGTTGGGCTTACTGGAGCAATTGTTGATTTGGTCTGGGCCTTGTTTAGACTTAAAGAACCTTATCAAAATTTGAAAGGAGGATTACAGGCCCAAGAGAAAAAGAATTCCAAAGCTCTAACGGTCTACCCAAAAAAAAATTTGATCCTGCAAAATTTACTTGAGAACGTAATTCTTCGCACATTTTGTGGCATGTATATGTTTCAATGTTTGTGTGTGTATATGTCAATGATATAAAAATTGAACAGAATCGGACAATCGGATAAACGAATTGGTTGGACTGTCGATAAGAACCGTCAATGATTTAATTTGGGCCAAAAAACTAATTTTATGATTGAACTGAATTGTGAGCTATTATTAAATTGAAAACTCAAACAGAAAAATGGAGCAATTTTAAAAAAATTGAATAGTTTTAAATATAATATTAAAAAAATTTAAAGAATTTAAAAATTAAATTATATTAAAAGTTAACTTTATGTTTGAACACTTTATATATATAAATATATGATTTGAGATATTTTTTTATAAAAATGTTGACAATTGTAAGTACAAATATAAATATTTTTAAGTCTACTCATATCTATTTGAATAAAAATTTACTTATATTTGATAAGTTATAAAATTTTAATTTATAATACTGTTAATTTACAATCATATTATGTTATTTTATTAACATACTATAGATTTTTTATATTATATATATATATATATATATTTAATATTATTTTTATTTAATTATTACATCACCAATCTAATCACTGATTTAACCAGTTAGATTATATAAAATTATTGAATTTTTTGATTTAATTTCCGGTCCAACTTTTAAAATATTGGGGGGGTGTGTGTATGTATTATTTGTTTCAAGATTTTAAAAACCGAAGTAGTCATTAAATCAAATTAGCTATTGATTCACGGTTCATTAGTTCAATTGTGGTCAAATTGTGATTGAATTGATTGACATTAAATTAATATATTTTGAAAAAATTAGTCTTTTAGTCCTCCAACTTTTAATTCACTTGTAATTCAGTCCCTCAACTATGACTCGCTGTGACTCAGTCCCTCAACTATGACTCGCCTATAACTCAGTCCCTCAACTTTTAAATCACTTATAATTTAGTCCCTCAACTTTTGTTAATTTTTTTTTTCATGTTAGTTTAGATCTCAAATTAATGAGCAAGAGGAGGATATTTTAGAATAATATATGAACATTTTTTTATCCCTCTTATTTGATAAAAAAAATTTTAAAAAAATTAAAAAATAAGGACCAAATTATAGGTGAATCAAAAGTTGAGGGACTGAGTCGCAGCGAGTTATAGTTGAAGGACTGAGTTGCAGCGAGTTATAGTTGAGGGACTGAATTACAAGTGAGTTAAAAGTTGGGGGATTAAAAGATTAATTTTTTCATATATTTTAAATTTATGTATCACAATTAAATAAGAAATACATGCAAATATTTATATTTTACAAAAAATATTAATAAATACTTAATAAAATGATTTATTGTTGTTGAATACATGATTAGTACTAATTATTTTTGGCGATTAGTACTAATTATTTTTTGCTATTCTTTGTTTTAAATTATGTTTTTAATTTTTAATTAATTCAATCCGGCTTTTTAGAAAACGGGTCCGGTTGATCGATTTTGGGGAATCAACCAAACCAGACTAAAAGTCGATTCCGTCGATCCAGTTTTTAAAACACTGATTTGCTTTGCCTAATAGTATAATATGAAAGAGCTGTTGAAAGTTGTCTTCTCTAGAGAACTCACCTCTAATCTCTAGTTCTGTAAACTCAATCTGCGGTGAACCACATAACTTTCTCACTCGCTGTGCCCTCACCATCACCCGCCGAGGTACTCTGCGTCTTCTATTGCCTTTCTAATGTTTGCTTCTGTAAATCGCAATCGAATGATATTACTTTCATTCAGTGATCTATGAGAGCAACTGATTGATTTGCGCCCTATTCAAAATCTATATACTCTCATGGTTTTGTGGATTACTCTAATTACCCGCGAATTCTGGATTTTACATTACTTTCTTGTTTCCCGCGATATATATATCCATATATGATCTTAAAAATTCATGTTCCTGGTTGATTAGAGTTTTGATGGCAACCCTACCCCTGTTAATTTGTTTCCATATCTTATTGATGAATCATTATTATATTTACGGTAGTGACCTTCTCTTGCACCACAGTGCGATCCTTTCAATTTTTATTTTTCCCCTCAAAAGTCAGAACAAACTCGGTCTATTCGTTTCAAAATCCAGAAAGTTGCATAGATTGTTGATGAACGTGTTAAGTTTTTCTCTCTCTCTTTAAATAACATTCTTCTATCACTTGTATTGTTACTGAATGGCATTTCCGATCTCCGATTGAAGATAAAAGAATAGGTTGAAAGCTGGTAAAACATTGGATGGCAGAGTTGATAGGACCGAGACTGTACAGTTGCTGTAACTGTCGAAACCATGTTGCTTTTCATGATGATACTATTTCAAAAGCTTTTCAGGTGAACTCTCAATTCAAATTTTAGCAGATTAAGCTTGTATGCTTCATAATGTGTTCTCAATCCAATCTCTAGCTTAGCAGTAGGCAGTAGCGCCTCCTCCAAGCATGATACAGTAAATAAAAAATGCATGACTGAGAGTTTAGTTTAAAGTGGGGATCACAATTAGGTCCCGAAAGTTCAATTTAGTAACAGTTGCAAATATCAATTTGGTAATCTGGGACTTAAATGATTGATTTGCAATTGAGATTCTGTCATTTCAATTATGTGTATTGGTATTTATAACTTATCTTTCAACATATCATCATTAAATTAATCTCTTGGGATGTAAATGTCATTCTCCTTAATTTAAAATAGCTACAAGACTAGATCACTCTTTTATGTGGTTGACACATAATTGGTAGCCTCCATTAACATTTCACTATATCAATAGGTTTAATAAGATTTTTTGGTAGTAACGATAGTTGAAAATGCTTCATATCATTTTCAGGGAAGACATGGAAGAGCCTTTCTGTTTTCCCATGCGATGAATGTTATGGTGGGGCCAAAAGAAGACAGGCAGCTCATGACTGGCCTCCACACAGTTGCTGATGTTTACTGTTGTGACTGCCACGAGGTGCTCGGTTGGAAGTATGAACGTGCCTATGAGGAAACACAGAAGTACAAGGAAGGGAAGTACATTCTTGAGAAGTCCAAAATCGTCAGGGAAGACTGGTCATAAGTTAGTACCGATGCCCATGTTGTTGTTGTGTGTCTGTCTCCATGATCCGTTAATGTGCAGAAATTGGAGATTTTAAAGATTGGATTCAATTATTGTTGTTGGTTTGTTCATTCTTTTGTATTCTCTTGTAGTCTTGTACAAAATGATCGAAACCAATACACTATGTCAAGTGTATGAAATGGGGATTTTCTTCTGGTTCTGCCTTTGTTATATGCCTCTTGGCTTGTGTAAAATATTTATGCAAGTTAAGATTTTTTTCTGTTTGCTATTTAATTACCTTAGCTGCTTTGAGTAACAATGTCTTAGCATTTAGCAGTTTACCAGCCTTGTGGGAATAGGTTCATATTTGGGATCTGGTCATTCAAGTCTCTGGCGCCATGCTTAAACTATAAGCTTGAACATGTTGGATGAATGTGCACATCTTATCTTAATCCCGTTAATCATTTGACTTTTTAGTTTGTATTGTATAATGGCTCTAGGAATCCAGCTAATCCTCAACTACTAACTTGATATCTAGCCTTTATAGACCTAAAAAACGGGCTAGCTTTTATACCCTTGATGCCCTTGTAATCTAATCCAGGTTTTCCAACATTCATTTAATTCATAAGGCCTGGAAATAAATTATTGTTAATTCCAATCTGGTTTTTAGTATAAAGTATCTTCTAGAAGAGAATTCTCATCAGTAGTTATTTGATAGGGTATTAATTAAAATTTTCTTATACCACCCCTAAAATCAATAACTATAAGAAAGAATGCAATGTTAAGTATAAAAAAATTTCATCTAGATATGGATAAAATTAAAAATTTATTTCATTTTCATATAAAATTAATGACTTAATCACTTTTTTTTATTTTAATGAATTGATTAGAAATATCTTATAATGAGGACTTGAATAGTATTTCTTATTTTAAGTTGATGATATCCTTTGGGTTTTAACGTGGCAAAATAGGTGCATCTGTTCGTTTGATATCCGTGTAGAAAATGAATTTTTAAATGTTCATAATGTATCAAGATCTAAGTAAAGATTTCTTTTCATATAAAATTAATGGCTTACCTTCTCTTATTTTAGTGAGGTGAATAAAAATATCTTATACTAAACCTAGATGGTATTTCTTAGTGTAAATTATCATTTAGGCTTCAACATGGCAAACAGGTGCATCTGTTCATTCCATAGAAAAAGAAATTTTAAATGTTCATCCCACCAAGCTTTAAGCAAAGATTTCTTCTCAAAATAACATGGCAAATCCATGCTGTCCATTGACTAAAACAGAACAGTTTCTAGCACTGTAGATAAGCATAACCACTCACCAGAAGTTCACAAATTACCAATATTCGAGATTTGTTCTTTGAACTACTTATTGCAATTAGAATGCAAAAATTACACTCATCGTCCCTTCAAAGATCATATGCCCCTTCCCTCCCCAAAACTACGGTTGAAAATACACACTACTGAAAAATGTTATCATATCGTTCCACCAAATGCTGGTCAATAATTGCCAAGTCATTTATAACAACCGCCAAAGCACATACTGCGCCCAAATATATATACATATATATATATTTGCAAGGTATTGACAAAATGGAAAAACACAGGCTTGGTTCGAATGAACCAAAATCAATGGACGTAGAATAATGGAGGCAAACAATTCGAAAGAAAAAAATGGTGGTTTCCTAATTCATCACATGACTGGTATTTTCTTCCTCGTAATCCATCTCCTTTTTGCGTCTTCTATGGCATCCTCCCTCATCTTGGCAAGTTCAAGGAAGCATTGGTGATACTGTGTATTTATTGCATCAAGCTCCAGTTGCAGCTCGTCACATTGATCCTTGTCTGCGAGGGAAAGAGTATTGATGCTTGACATGTCAAAGTTCTGGGGTTCATCGCCACATGAATCTATAAATGAGACAGTTGAGTTCTCTGAAACGACGTTCACTGAGTTCCTATCAGACCCGTTGATGGTAACAGATCCACCAGCATTAACTTCCCTCTTGCGTTCATCTTGATCATGGAACCTGACATCTAAATTGGATCTTTTGGCAATGGAGTCCTCACAGCATCCATCGAAGATAACAGAAGCAGGTTCCATGTTTTTACCATCTGAGATGACTTTAATCCCATCCTCTGCTGAAATGCCTGACATAATTGATTCCTGTTTCTCTTGATCTTCATCAAGAACCTGTGAGTTAACAAGATTCTCATCACTATGACACCATAAAGATGATTCCCCATTTAAAACTACAGGAGAATCGCCATCCAAACAATATGCTCCAGGTAATTGTTGACGTGACTCTCTCCAGTTAGGAACAAGCCTGACGGTCATGGTGTGTATTAGTTCAGCAATAACATCCACATCCTCAGCAGTGAGATCCAGATTTTCTACCATCTCCTCAGCAATTGAAATTGCCGTATCCGAATCAAGATAGAACAGAAAGTGGATATTCCTCGCACAACCTAACAAAAATGTAAAACATTTAGTATGCTGTTGTGGCAGGAAAAAACAAAAATATAACCACTTACCGTTTGTCTCAGCAATGCGTAGAGTAAGTGAAATTGTTCTGCCTGCAACGTTTTTCTCCCCTCGTAACCTAAATTCATTACTCTTATTCTGCCTAAGGAACTCTAGAGTTGATATTTGAGTTTCTTCTGTACCGTTCAAACAGGAGCCAGGTAAAACATCGTTGACAGTTTGGTCTATCTCCATGGGACGTGGCTCAGTTGTTGGTGGCATCACCAACTTGGTTATGTGATTGGGCAACTGCAGTACATGGTTGATCTCCTTCATGTTGTCAGTAGCAAGAAATGGATCCTTCAATAGCTCGGATGCAGGCACTCTCATAGATGCTGGAACTAAACATTTCTCTATGAATTGCTTCACTTGTGGATCATTCACTTTACCAAGGGCAGCAGGCTTTATTCCCTGAAAGTAAGAAACTTATGAGTGTGACAGAAAACAAAATTAAGAAGAGATTCAACAAACTTAACTGACACTGTAGACTTACAGAGGTAACTTTCTTATATATCTGTGCCTGATTTTTGCATTCACTATATGGGTACTCACAGGTGATCATTTCTAACATGCACATTCCAAAAGAATATACGTCAACAAGTTCATTATACTCTTCTTCATAAAGCTCAGGAGCCATGAATTCTGGTGTCCCTGCAAAGTTACAAGAAGCATCAAGACCAAATTCTCCCTCTAAATGGTTTAATACAGTCAAAAAGTCAGGAGAAACTGAAGCATATTACCAATGACACTCCGTGCAGTAGGTTGCTGTAGGACAGTTGCCAATCCAAGATCTCCAATCTTAACTTCTCCAGTATTACCATTAATAAAAATATTATCACATTTCAAATCTCTATGGATGATAGGAGGATCGAGGCTATGCAAATAGCATAAACCTCGAAGAATTTGCCTTGCCCAGTTCTTGATGGCCTTCAATTCAACATTCTTATGCATTCTTCTATATCTAATCCATTATAAGCAAGTGCAGAATCAATGAATGCTAAGGTCAAGCACATAAGGGGAAAAACATTTAATCTTAAAAAAAGGCCAAAAAACTTACCGCCTCAAACTCCCAGAGATGAATAACTCAGTTATCATGTTAATAGTCTTGTTTGTATCGTCCACCCAAGAATTATAGAACTTGATGATGTTGCCATGTTTCAATGACTTTAGGAGATGAACCTCAGAATATAACCTTTCCAATTGTTGTGGAGACTGCAAAACGTCCTCAATGTTTACTTGGTTCCAGGCAACTTCTGTTCCATCAACTTCATCAAACGCCTTGTATCTATAATAACAGTAAATAAAGGTAATTTGAATTAAGAAAGTTCCTTCCTTGAAAAATTTTTTAACTTCAATATCTAACTACATTGAAAACTAAATGAAGATAGGTCTAAGAGCCATACACAGTCTTGAATGCTCCTTTCCCCAACATATCATCATACTGAAGATAGAAACATAGCAATATATCAATAACTCCGCTCCAGAAGTTAACGAAAAAAAAGGTTGGTATTATGGTATTGATAACTCAGACAAACTAATTATTTAATCACTATACATGATTTAAAAAAAAGAAATAAATAATCAAAATCAAAAAGCACATTACGATCAAGAAAGGCTTGAAATTCTTCAATTGAGGAGGCTTTGTTTTCAAAAGAAATAACATCCTCAACAGTCAATAACAAGCAATAAACATCACTGCATCTACTATAACGAAACTTTTAAGGTTTTCCATTGAATTCTCAGTGTCAGCGTAATAGTAACGTATAAACCTATACAGGTCAATCCACATACCCGAATGTAACGTCCAGTAGGATCTTTCTCCACAACATCAGCATCATCGGTCTCAAACTTGCCAACAGACAAACCAACGCCGGAATCCATAGCTATCGCAACTTTAAAAAACAAAAAGACCCTACGAAGAGAGTAATTGATTTTATTCGTCGCGCGAAAAAATTAGCAAACCTTATCCGGTTTTATCCGAGTGCGAGTCTGATGAAGAAAAAGCTGTTCAGAAAACGCCTCACAAGCGATTGAATAGGAATCAAATGGCGAACAAAAGTGGAATCGACATCCGGCAAAGGCCAGAACCGAAGATCCAAAATCCATGAAAGAATTTCGATTCCGCTTGAAAGTAAACATCCTTATACCAATCCAAGGTTCACCCATAACGCTATCTGCATCTTATGTTAGGCGAAATCAAAATCAGTGGAGAGATTGATCTTCCACTCAAGACGCTCGGGACGATGAAGAAAGACTGGAGATCCAAAAACACACTTTCTTGCGTACGGGAGCTATGGAGGGTAGAACGTGGCACGCTGGCACAACCTGGAGACTTCCATTAATTTCTTTTTATAGTTAAACTGAAACCGTGTAATACTTTATTCATAAAATCCATAATAATCCATAAAAAATCATGATAGTAATCTTCGATAATAAGTCGATAAACGAGAGGTCAAAAAAATAATAAATCCATAAAAGAGATTTATCATAACAAGGAAGATTTTTCAGTTTTATTATATAACTAGCATACACCCGTGCGTGTATTTTTGTAACTTAAAATGATTTTATTTTAAAATATTAATCAATACAAGTAAAAAAGTTTATATAAAATAAATTACAATATTAATGAATAAAATAAGTGTAAAATTATAAAATTAGAGATTAAAGAATTCATCATGAATTCTCAAATGTTCAAAATTATAGTGGCCCCTCTTCATAGTTTTCACCTTTTTTTTCTATTCATCTATCAATCTTTTTTATTTTGTTTTGTTTTAACTCTTGTAGGGAAGCTATCATAATTAATCAAGTCTAAAACTCGAGTTGTTAAGATATTTTTTTTGTAAACTACAATATAATTTATTATTTTTATCATGTTGATATTATGATGATGCATTTTTTTCTTTATCATTTGTAGGTCTATTTAATAATTAGATAGTTTGTAATGTTTTTCTTACATATAATCCATACAAAATTAAGATTATAAGGTAAATATAAAAATTACATAACTCCATCTTTTTTATTAAATCATGTGAGGGTAGATCAATTTTTGAAGTATTATAATTTTTATGATTTATAAATATCAACAAATAAACATATTAATAATTTTGAAAAATTAATTTTCAACTCAAACACCAATATTTTCAAATCTTGCAGTTGAAATATTACAATATTAAAATTATCAAGATCAAAACATAAATTTGATAATTAAGTCATTATCTTCAAATATGAATTATATATAATTTAAAAAATTAAAATTTGATTAATTCATTTGACGTTTATAATTCAAATAAAAATTAAAATTAAATATGGATCATTAAAATATCATTTGAAAATAGGTAATTTGGATCACTATGAGTAAATTATTATAAGCACGCTTTTAAAAAAAAAATTACAAGGAGATACCTAAAAGCCAAGATATATAAGGAATGGAAAAAAAATTACTTGTGTTGATTTGAAAAACCATAGCAATGTATATCATCCTCTTCATCTAATTTTAATATACCTGAAGAATTATAAAATAATTAACAAATTATTATATAATTTACAATAAATATTTCAAAAACTAACAAATTAAATTTTATGAAACCATAACTTCACGAAAATAGAGCACAGTAAGTTTTTTCAGTTCTACTGCTTATGAAAGAGAGACTCAAAACGATGGAGGAAAATTTAGTAAAAAAAAAATTACAAAATGCATGATTATGTACAATTACCTAGCATTTATCATGAATATGAGATCTATCAGAAATTGAATTTCTCTTTTGATGCCTACAAGCACATAACAACCTCATAATGCCATTGGCTGGGGATGAAAAATCATCATGAAAGATGATAGAAGGGCTGAAGGATATTTGTGATAAGGGGAGGAGCCGAAGATAATGAAAGTCTTGTGATTCTGCTTGTCTTAAGGAGGGAATGGAGCAATTGAATGCTATTAAGATTTAAAAAAAAAAATATTATGTGTTTTTTAATTATCAATGTGATCGTGTATTTAAGTAATTAGAATTTTAAAATTAAAAATAAGAAAATGATTATGGAAAGTTACAACGATAGGAGAGTGGGAGAAAAATAAGAGAAAATAAGAATTAAAATAACTCATTTTAATTTTAAATATAATTTTTTTAATATTTAAGAAGATTTATTAAAAAATTTAATGTACATGTTGAAATTCTATATTTTAGGCAGTGGCAAAGTTAAAAAGTTATGACAATGGATAAAATCATGAGAGTGAAAATTTAGAGTTAAAAGAAAGTGATTTTTACAATTTAAAGATAGTATTGTTATCATCTATAAGAAAAAAATTTGATATCATGTAAAAAATTATTTTTGAAAATTATTGTTGACATAGATAACTTATAATCACAAAATTTTAAAAAATGCATACATGTTGAGTATAGAAGGCAGCCTACGATTGTACTTTTGTATATAGATATATAGAGTTACTTAATTTAAAATATTATTATGATATTATATTATTTATCATAATAAATAATATCTTATTTATCATTCTTATTTCTATCTTGACATGATCTATTGATTTTTAAAATTAAATATTTAATAATAGGAATAAGATTATTGAGAGTTAAAATGCAAAAGAGATAATGAGAGAGGAATGAGAAAAAAACTTAATTAAAATAAATCAGTTTTTAAAATAAAAAATACAAAAATACAAAAATAAGTTAACACAATTAAATGAAGTTGATGTGGTAGTTTGTAATTGCAGCATTCTGAAAAAAAGGACACATGTTGAGTTTGGACGGAGGCTCACGGTTCTACTTTATATATATATATATATATATATATATATATATATATTATATTTTAATTTTAATTAATATTTAAATTTATATTTCAAACTTAATTTTTTATCCAGTATCTCTTATTATGTTTTTAGAAATATTTTTCCTTATATATTACTTAAACTTAAGATATTATTTATTTAGTATTTATTTACCTTAATTGAAAAAATTTAAAGTATATCCGGACAAGGTGTAATCAAATTTTAAATTCGATTCAATTACAAATCTTCAAATTTAAGAATCAAATTAAAAATCAAATCAGATTAATCTATAGAGATCACGGTTATATTTTATATTGAAAATATTTTATTTTTAATTAAAATTTTTATTACAAATTTTTTAAATTTGTAATTTAGTTAGTAAATTAGTTTTCCTAGTGAAATGCAAGGAATATACCCGCTGAATTGTGGATGGAAGAAATTAAAATGAATCTTAATGGTGTAGCTTTCTATAAATATCACCCCTTTCATTTAAAAATATAAGATATTTTTAATTAAATTTCATCTCTTAATAAAATAGTTACTTACTTTTTAACTAACTCTATCTTTTTATATTTACCCCTATTAAACACCTTAAAATAAATATAAAATTATTATCAATGGAAGTATTTTTTTTTAAAAAATAATGATTACATCTCGAAAGACTAAAAATACCTTATATTTTTTAACATCTAATTTTTTAAAAAATATTTTATATTTTTTAACAGATGGAGTATATAAAATGTATGAATATTAAGATTTTATACTTTTACATTAAAATAAAGATATATTTTTGCTTCTAAAATATTTTTTGATGAGTGCTTAATACTTTAAAGTATTTGTTGAAACATTTTCATCCCTAAAGCTTTTTTAACATATACTTTAGGGAATTTAACGGTAGGGTAAAGAATGCACAAATTTAATTACTTTAGATGTGAAAATACTCTAGCAACAAAGGATGATTTAGGATACTGAGCCTTGAAAAATATTTTAAAAATAAAAATACACCTTTAACCTCTATATTAATAAGAATGATTTATAATTTATAGTTATAATTCAGAAATCTATATAAACATACCTGCACACGAGTTTCATGGCTTAAAGAAATCGAAATAATGAGTGTAAATTGATTTAAGATGCAGGTTAAACTATCATACCCTATTATCTGGACTTATCAAGTTATCAAATCGTAATTTGTTTGAAAAATAATATTTTTTTCAACACAATACTTATAAACTATTGCTTCTGGATTCACGTTTGCTCTGTTCTATTAATCTGTGTAACATTGATGATAATCACCAAAAGGAAATTTATTTATTATTTTAAGATATTTAATCTAATTTCTACAATAATATAGAAATTATATAGAAAGCTAACACGAGCCATTTTTTTCGGCATATTTTGTAAAAAAAATTATTTGTTTATTGAAAATAATCTATTTTTTGAGCTTTTATATTGTTTATTTAAATTTTTAAACGTAATCAAAATTTAAAAAAAATATTTTTGATTATTTTAAGAAATTAGTTTGAGTAACTTTTAAAAATAATTTAATGCGGTAAATAAAAGAAAGTGTTTTAAAGAGACATAACTAATGATCACTTTTTTAATTATTATAACTGAATGTAAAATAATCTTTTTTTTATAAAATATCTTTAAAATAAATCTCTTTTTATAAAATATATAAAATATTTAAAAATTATTTAGTTTTCAATATTAATTGAACAGCCCATCATGTACATTTAGCTTGCGAATTATGATATGACGCATTTGACCTCTATCAAATTTGTGTTTTCATAACTTGTCAGATTTCTTCTTAGGAGAGAAATAATAACTGTTAGCTACAAGTTTCTTAGCTGAGGTTGGATTTTAATTAGAGGAATTACATTGTTATTTATATGTATTAATGATACAACAACAACAACAACAACAACAAGCCTTTATCCCACTAGGTGGGGTCGGCTACATGGATTGCAAGACGCCATTGTGCTCTATCATTTATTAAGCTTTTAGAAATATTATTAATTAAGAGATCACGTTCAACAACTTCCAAGAGTGTTCTCTTAGGCCTTCCTCTACCTCTCTTAATCGGACTCAAAGTTATATGTTCCACTCTTCTCACTGGTGCCTCCCTTGGTCTTCTTTGTACATGCCCAAACCATCTCAACCGATTTTCTACCATTTTTTCCTCAATAGGTGCCACCCTCACTTTTTCACGTATGTGCTCATTTCGAATTTTATCTTTACGTGTATGTCCGCACATCCATCGTAACATTCTCATCTCTGCTACTCCAACTTTATGCTCTTGCTGTCCCGTTAGAGCCCAGCATTCACTACTATATAACATTGCCGGTCTGATAGCAGTACGATAAAACTTTCCTTTAAGTTTATTAGGCACCTTACGGTCACAAATAACTCCTTTAGCTTTTCTCCAATTAAACCACCCAGCTTGAATTCTATGTGAAATATCTCCACTGATTTCGCCATCATTTTGGATAATGGCTCCCAAATATCTAAACTTTTCCACTTGAGGTATAATTTGATCTCCCAATTTC